GAAATGGAATTTTGGTATTTTTTTCTATTTTTTTGCGGGAGAGGGGTCGTAATTAATACAGGATACCTAGATGTAGGTTTTGAGAAACGTATCTCTGAAGTTATTTCTGCGGGAGAGAAAGTATATATAAAAAAGACAAAGAAAATAGTGCGCGCAAAGAAACAATCTCATCCGGCTTTGCCAAAATTGCAGATGGGGAAATGATATTTTAAAACTTGCCCTTATTATCACATCGCAGAGGACAGTCGTTCTAAGATATCCTAATAAGAGGTAAACTTTATGCGACAGCGAATGGCAGGAGTCGCACAGGCGTATCAACACCACCTAACGGTCGACCGCCTTTTGCTTTACAGCTTACCGGCGTGTCGCTTCACGCAAGGTAGACTTATTTATTGATCAAGTGACTCCTATCATAGTCTAGTTCAACTGTCCTTCATTCAGTAATCAAGATAGTAGACTTACCATACAATACTCGCGATTAGTTAATTTTCATTTTCTTAGGAAAGTAGATTTAAAACCTGATTGATCATGAGTACATACTGCATATGAAATATAGGGAACGTCCTTACAGTAGTAACGCTATGAAACGCAATAGGTCAATAGGACAATAGGACTTTTCGCTGCCATCAGTCTCAAACACCATAGCTTAAAATGCAGAAAACACCTGTACCTTTGGAGAGCGTTGGAGATCGTTTGTTCAGAGCTGTTTAAGGATCTAAGTTGCCGGCATTCAAACGTTTATTTAAGGTATTTGGTTAACAAAAAGAAAAAAGAAAGAAAGCGAAAGAGGCAATCTCTCTCGTTCATAGAGTCAAGTACTGCTGACAAAAACACAGAAAACGTTTTTGACCTAAAATTGTTAAAGCGGTTCTATGCTTCAAAAAGTATTATTTGAAGAATGATAAGCAGAACAGCTTCCATCTGTATCTATCTCTTTCCTTTGATTTTGTTTTCCTTACAGATCAAAACGTATTTTGAAATGATTTTTACAGATATTCCCTAGCTCAAGAAATTTCGGTAAAAGATGGCAAAACATCATCTGGCTTAGACTCAGTTCGCAATTATGCCTCGAAATAACCAGGATGGGCGCTGATTCCTTTTGAGCAGCGACGTCGCATCCTGGCAGCAAAGCAAATGCGAGTGCCTTTTAAATTTATTTTATCGATGTCTCCTTAATTGTTGCTGAAATTTGAGGACCACTCAGTCATTTTAAAGCGTACTTTATGATCAACAGAAAGAAAAGTATGATGTTCTCAGAAACTTGTTTCTAAAAATACCAAGAAAGTCAAACTATGGATCGTTCTGTGCAACCACTTTGTTTTTCCGCTTTCCGACCGCATTTTTTCCCTGTTCTTCAGTGTACGACGTTGTCAAATTTTGAACGTTCCCTTGACGTTAGTTGGCTTAAATGGCATAGGAGAGGCATGATTAACAGGAATAGTTTGCGCCAGTTGGGATCATTGCCTGTTTTATCAAGACAAGATCTACAAAAAATAAGTGACTCGAAAGGAAATGAAAATTGTGAATTAGTAAGGTAAGTTTTTAAATGCAACTTAGCCGGTTTCACCCCAAAATTTTATCGATAAATTAAACGAAGAGGAAACGTTAAACTAAATTGATCTGTACTTTATCTAAATTTATAATTTTGAAGCTAAACGTACCGAATTCATTGAAACAAAAATATTGAAATCGATGAGTGATGCCATATTTCTGCCATGAGATCGATGGAAAACATGAATACTGCACTCGGGGTAAAATTCATTAAGTTCTAAAGACCTTTGACTTCCGTTTAGAGAAAAATGGTTTACAACTCAAGTCCATGAATAGTCGAGGAAGTAGGAACTTAATCTAAACTGATTGAAAAAAAAGATTAGGCCGACACAATTGACTGTCGCTACCGGCATTAACTAATTTTGAAAATTTCTTGTCCAAACTTGCCATCTGTCTATCGCAATCATTGTTTTCTATAGAGCCTGTTTATAGAATGAGCTCGGGTGAACACCCTTCCCTTTTCGTGCAAGATTGTCATAGGTTTTAAACGATGATCTTAATTCGTTTTTGTACGCAGTAGATCTTACAATGTTTGCTTGTCGGCTGACATCTCGTCACAGCAACTTCAGAATGTAGGTAACCAGGCTATTGTGTTCTGAGAGCCTACATGTTATTTCTGAAAGGTATTGCACCGAACTTCATTTATGATACAATAACCATGAATTTTATCGTGAATTTCGATTTCATAACCGCGTAATTTTGTTAAACACCTCTCTTCCTTTGTTTCAATTTCTGTATTTATCTTTATTAGCTATATTCTTTTCAAGTACAGTAAAAGCTAAGAACAGACATTAAAAAATTTGATTAGTCGACAGAGCCTAATAAAAGCCGCCGATAATATGTTCTTTCCGGTTGGATTTCTCTTGGGGTTATAGGACGTTCCAATACCGAGATATCTTTATCTAACAGTTCAGTACTTCCTTTACATTTCTGGAACAGAACCACTGGATATAGTAGAATTTGTACTTACTCAGCGCACAATGTATTGACAGTGCTGTAAACATTTTACCGGATTGAAGCCCACTTGATAACAGCCCAAGCGCAGAAGATTTTCTAACGTTTTAAAGGAGATAGTGTGCAGTGGACAAAACAATACTCGATCGCTTCTTACTGAGATAAGTCACAATTATTTTCTTCTTTTTATAAACGGACCAATGAGGCTGGAGGCTATTTCCACCAGATGTGGAGCAATGGTTCGCTTCATTAATACAAAACATTCAAGATACTGAAATAGCTTTATTCCCTCACGTTTTGTAATAGCGCAGATAGTAAAAGGTTGATAGATTACGCGATTAATGAAAATAGTTCCAGGGAATCATGTTTAAAGGTAGATGTCTTTTGCGATTTAATATTTTTCCTATCGAAAGTTATTGCAGATGTCCCATCTTTTAAATGGAAAAAAAAATAGCTCGTTGTAGTTGTTGAAGTCTACATCGTATGCAAATAACTTTGTCGGCGTGGGAATCAGGATACACATGAAGGGAGGGGAAGGAGGGGGCGTAGAGGAGTCGGTCAACACGCTAAATTATAATAAGCTTCCAAACTTAATGACAAACTGAAAATATAACATAACATCGCAAAGCTTCGTCAGTGCTATACTGTTTCATGATGGATTTTACATATTTCCCATCGAATACGATCATATGCTCGGCTTGATGTGTTACCGCCATTTTGTTTTTGTTTTTTTTTCTTCTTGTTTTTTTTGTTTTAATGTTTGCTTCTCGATCGGAGCAAAATTGGATATTTTCTGCAGACAAATATACAGGTATGCGTTACAAATGGCAGCATTGTTGTTGTGTTAGTTGTTTTTCACTGATTATGCAACATCTCCGAAGAATTGAATTGAATAGTAATGAAGACTGTAATTTGTAAATGCAAATGAGCTATTTCGGCTCAGCATCGTATTTATGGATCAATTAAACGATGGAGAACTGCTCAGATGAAATAATCTGTTATAAATATGGATGTTGAGATTTNGATGAATTAATTGAGCAATACTTTAAAATTGGATACAACCACGCAGAAATACTATCATGTCTTCTATTACTGCATGACGAGGAACTCAGTTTGCGACAGTTGAAAAGAATACTAGCCCGTAGAGGCCTTAAAAGACGGCAAGACATTTCCGACCTGAGAACTGTTTTTGTCGCTATTGAAGACTGAAGAGCGACGAGGAAGTGGAAGTGATATTGGATGTAGATCTGTTTTGGCAAAGACTGGTTACAGATAGCGGCCTTGTGGTATCTAAAGAGACGGTACGAGTCCCCTGGAGGACGTTGGCCTGAGAGTTCCATTAGTTCCATTAACGACTTGTGATATATATCCCAAGGGATTAAACTTGGTGTCCGTGAAACAGTGCTCGATACAAATAGTAGAGCGGGTATAATGTGTGGTAGTCAGAAAAAAAAACAACTACATATACATCCCTACAGACCCGTTTCGTGGTTGCCCACTCATCAGGGGATTTAAAATCACACATTACATATATATCTTATTAACCAAAAATAAAACTACTTATACATCCCTACAGACCTGTTTCGTGGTTGCCCACTCATCAGGGATTTAAAATCACACATTATATATTTATCTTATTAACCAAAAATAAGCCCGGCGAGGATAGCCAGCGGCCTGCAGTCGACAAACAAACCGGTTAGCTCTCCTAGTCAGCAGGCTGCTGGCTATCCTCGCCAGGCTTATTTTTGTTACCCGACATACTGTGCGATTGGCGAACAGGTCTACAACTATTACAACGAGCCAAATTCGAAATTGGAAAGCCGATCGATCTGGAAATAAAAGCATCGCTAGTGAAAGATCTGTGGGAGGAATTGGGAATCAAGTGCATGGAAATGGAACTGCAACATCCCTGCTTTTATTTTCTGGAGGAATCGAGGCTGGTGGTGATTTTTTGGTGGAATTATTCACTTCGGGCGACGGACACTTCTAAAATAGGTTTCCGGCCTTGTCTTTTTTTTAGCAGTTGAACACCAAAATAGCGCTAACTCGCCGAAAACGCTTCAAAATGGCCTGAGACGCTGGTAATCAACAAAGAAAACATCAAGGCAATAAGGTAAGTCCATTTTATTTCAAAGACATTTTTTCTCTCTTTTAAGGCAAACCGATAGCATCCCATACAGACCTTTATAAATATAAAAGGTTG